CATTTAGGCAACGGTTACCGCTCGATGTATTCAAAGTGTAACTCTAATAACTTCAGCAGCCGTAGTCACAAAAGGTGTCAAGAATCAAATGCAAACCGCAGGAACCTCGCCAAAGCCAAGCAACATTAATTCCCACACATCACCGAAAAGCAGGCGAAACAACGGTGCCCTAACACCCACATGCATCAAGATTTTTGAGTTCATAACAAATTCCTTAAAGCGTAAACAGCAGGACGATCTGAACCAGTGGAATGGTGTTTGAGAGCGGATCGGACCAGTCTGATTAACTTGGTGAGCACGACGGTGATGAGTCCCGACTACTTTGACTAACATTGGTGTAGCAGAGGATGAAGCGATGTATGAAGTAGGGTTTCAATGAAACTTTATCCGTTTTTGATTGGATGCAAATCCCGAAGACTTAGTACAGCCTTATGGAATTGTTGCTTGATCTATGGACTATACTCGAATTATGACACTGCACTCTTCTCATTTTTAAACTTCGCAGTTTTAATGGCAACTCTTTGGTTAATTTACATTTGATAATTTGGAAAGCTGAAAAAGCACCAATTTGGGTACATAAAGCTTTTACTGACTTGATTTGTTATGGGGGGGGAAGTAATTTTCTCGGTTACTGCCTGCGGAGTGAAGATTGTGGGATATGTTCAATACAACGAATGCCACCAGGACAAAAATCTGCAAATGACTACCACGCGGAGAGTAGCAGAATCAGTTTTGTTCACGGCGATGAGGATGCCCACCCTCATGATATTGGAGAATGGCGGTACATCCGTGAAGTTCTTTGTGCTGGTGACGTCGTAATTTTGTCGGCTTCAAGGCTGCCCACATCGCCTCACCATAAAGGCAGTGGCCTCAGAATACTAAACTTGCAATTCAGTCTCTACAGATGGCGGTGAAACGGATGCGTAGCTGTAACGAACTGCGCAACACACAATCACCGCAACTTCGCTTAAAAACAGCCATTAGGGTATAGCGGCCACCCGACATCACCGAAGAAGCAACACCACGAGGGACTCAGTGTGACCATAGCAGCGAGTCAGGAAACCAATTTATCAGACCAGTAGCCATTACGAACGGATTTCAACCATAGCAAGACCTGGCATGGTTCTATCTATCGGCAAAACACCCAAAAATGATTAGGTGCTGGTCTTTCATCAGTCAGCATACATTCATCCCACTCATACACTCCTTGTCAAGCGCTTCTGAGGTCCAAGAAGCTCTCCTGTATGTACACGAATGCTCAGGGCTTACTAAGTAAACTTTCCGAACTGCGATTCCGTCAGAGGTAAAAAGCCTGTGACCTCATCACCATAATAGAGACATGGTTGCACCCCGACATAAGTGACATCGAAGTCGCGTTACCAAATGTCTGTTACTCGGCACAACCGATCCAGTGAAGAGGTTGAAGTGGCTCTGTACTTTCGCACTGACCTCCCCTCCATCCTTAAATAGTGCAGGTGGGAGGGAATCCGGGCCAGCGGCACGAAAATGATTGAGGGCTGTGATCGCGTTTCGGACCTCGACCTCCGACGGAGGCTCTAAACCAACCGTCCATGGCTCATCCTGCATCACTTGAGTTGGAAGAGGTCCGGGAGCAGGGAGGCAGCTGAACTGATCTTGAAAGTGTTCCGCCCAAGGAGGCATACAGCGCTCTTTATTGTGCATCAGTGCCCTCGCGCTATCTCTGACTGTCTCACTGACTCCTGGTTTCCTGGGACCAGTGGTTCGGATCAGCTGGAAGAGCTTGCGATGATTGCCTACTGCTCCTGCCTCCTCCATTTCTTGAGCCCGAGTGGTCCACCAGGCTTCCTTGTCAGTACGTAGGCTCAGCTTTAATTCGCGCCTAATAGTCCGTCTGGTCACATGGTGCTCAGAGCCAGCCGGGAGGTTTCTTCTAGATTACAACAGATTCACCGACCTCTCGGATAACCAGCGATTGCTGCGGTGATGATTGATAGTGCCACAAGCAGATGCACCTGCCTCGTGCATGGCGGCCGAGATCGTATTCCACTGAGGCTGTGTCCTTTAGACAAAACAGCGAAAGTTCGGTACGCAGTGCTTCTTGATAGGCTTGTCTGACCGAGGGCTGAGATAATTCCTCAGTTGCCAATCGGAGGAGACGCTTGGTACGCCTCCAGGTAAAGTTCATGGAGAAACGACAGCGTAACAAGGCATGATCAGAGTCGACACAGGTACTGCAGTACGAGCGGCAATCCAGGATGGAATCACGCCATCTGTAACTTATGGCTGTGGTCAATTTGGATCCATCGCTGGTCAGCTACAGGAGGACGCCAAGTGGCACTTCGGCGCCCACTGTGTCTGAAATCAGTGCTACTAAGAAACAACTGGTGCTCCGTACACAGTTGCAGCAGACGCTCACCGTTGTCAGTTCGTTCGGAGTTAAGCCCATAATTACCACCCAGCTGAGATTCTGAAGAGCTCAGACGCCCTACTTGTGCGTTCATATCCCCTGCAAGTACTATAATATCTGAACTAGTAGCATTGCATAGTAGCGCGTTCAGTTCGTGATAGAATGTGTCCTTGACAGCATTAGAACTGCAGTCGGTGGGAGCATAAGCGGAAATCACGAACAAACAGCGTTTTGTACTACTTCGTAAATCAACCTTAGCTGATGTCGTCAAAGGAGTTGCACATAAATGGCTGTTCACCGGAATCCAATCAATTAACGACTGATCAGCTTTGCAGCTTAGAATGATACCTACACCAGCCTAACCCGTGAGTGCTGCGTCGGCGTCTCCGGATGCAGGCAACCAATAACGAGATGATAAGCCGGGTGCAGTTAATAGAGCAACCACATTAGGGCCATTGATCCCACTTTCGGACACGCAACACACATCAACACCCAGTGTATCCAATGTGCGTACGAGTGCAACCTGTTGACCTATTTATCTTAGGGTGCAAACGTTGAAATTCGTCATGAAAATGGGACAAAGCGGTTTTATAAGGGACTGTTGCCGATAGGTGTCCGGTGCGTGTCGCGAGAAGGTGGCTGCAGATGGTTCTACTCCAGTGGCACTTCGGTTGCTTGCAATTAAGCTGGGAATTATATAAGGATGGTTAATAATGAGGGTCGGGCTGGTAATAAGAGAAACAGGTGGAAAAGAAAGGAGGCGCCAGTAGAAGCATGTTTTCGGTTATCCGCCCTGCTGTATGCAGCAGATAAGGCGACCCTTGATAATCTGGGTGACGGCCGATGCAGGATGAAGTTTATATTGGAAGAAAAAGTCATGGTGGTATGGGGGCTGAGATAGTGCCAAGGCGCCCAGACCTAGACAGGAGGACGAGTAGGGTCCTCAACCAAAGCCTTTGGCTCAAAAGCCTGTCCGCAACGCAGCGGGGAGGTGGCAGTGATTTAGTTTTACAGAAATGGACGCCATCCCATTTAAAACCCTAAACCTGGATGACCAGGAGACTGAGTTTGTCTGACCGCTCACCATTAACGAACCTGGTAGGAACGGCTCTCGATCCGTGACCAGCGCTCCCCCACGCACACGACATAGCGCCACATTTTCCCTAGCTGAATATCTCCTAGTGCCTTATCTTTTAGCATTAGTTAGCTTTCCTCCCATTCAATAAACATATTCGGCGTGTTCTACGGACCTCTTTAGGTTGGCCATCCAGTCTTGTACCAGATATATAGCGCACGAAACAGGCGTCTGGAGATGATAGTGCACGTATCAGTATCAAATCCTATCCGAGTGGAATGTGATGTGCCACTATGATCGGTATTCGGGCCCCGTCTGTTCCTGATTTTTACTAACGATCTAGTGTGCGTAGTCACTTCACATTGTCTGCTTTCCTCCGACGACATCAAAGTTTGGTGGTCGATCAAAGCTCCAACGGACCGCATGCAGCTTATAAACGACCTCGACAACATTCGTGAATGATCAGTTCAACGTGACTAAATGTCGACTATTCCATCTACGACACAAAATGCTTCACACTTATAAGTTGGGCGAGTGGGATCCACAGCATTGTTCTCGTAAAAGAGATTTCCATGTCCTACTCCTCAAAGACCTTTGTTGCTGGGGTCAATCTGAACTAGCATCGAAAAATGCATCCGAAAATTGGGGCCCTTAAAGGGAGCTTTTGGCAACCATCTTTCTCCAGCTGCTCTCTGCATACATACGCCTACAGGTGGAATATGCACTTTCAAAATGACAGTCATAGATGAAACGGTATCTCACTGTCTTGGTCATTCCACAACGTCGGGCCACCAGAAAGGTCAGACGAGTTACCTTACGAACAGCGCCTGAGTACTTTGGGAGTTGTCAGTGGACCCTATCGGCGTTTGTGTGGTGATCTTATCATGGTTTACCAGATTGTAGGCAACCCGATTGTGCTATCAGTTGATAAAATCACGCCATAACAAGAAACGGAGAGGCCACCGTCTCAAACTGGCAGAACAATACAACCGGCTGTAATGTAGACGCAATTGCTTCTCGCTACGTGTTTGCCACATTTGTAATTCACTCCCAGAACCTGTTAGTTCAGCCACATACATCAGCTGTGTTCAAAGACCGTGTCGGCAATGCACTCATCGTGTTACATCACATCATAAAACACACGCGAACCGAATGCACATTCAGCAAACAGAACGGTAGCAACCCACATCCGTTGTTCTGGGAGTACTAAAAGTAGTAACATTGCAAGTTGTATATTACCATATGTGAACGATTCAGACGGAGAAAATTTTGCTCGGCATGTTCGCTGTTTTAAGTTGTTCTCTGTTTGTGTTGGTCTTTCTTGTGAAAACATCAACGCACTCATGTGGTTTTTAATCTGCGATAAACTACTGGCTGCACTAATATTAGACGATATGAAACTCTGCCCCTAGTTTGCACACATATGATCCTTACCCGCTCACCGTTTCGTGCTAAACAGCTAGTAGCGAAATATGAAGGGGCAGAAGACAAAAAAGGCGGAAATCTAATAAGCTTATATTTTTGCTTCCCTTTTAGCTCATTGGAGTAAGTCACCAAAGAGCACTGCGTTCCGCACAGGCGAGAGCAGACGAATTGAGCCGCGCATGTGAAGAACACAAAAGTAAAGCTCGTGAAGTTCAGAACGAATTGAATCACTGCAAGAATGAGTACAATTCCGAGCTGAACAGAGTGCACGAACAATTGGGTCAGCTTGAGAGAGAGTTACGAAGCACCAGACAAGCTTTGGAATCCAGCCGCCAATCGGAACAGGAGGTGAGTACGAAAATGTCTGGCGATAAAATGAAGCCGGTACATGTAACATGGTAGACCAAACTAGATCGTTGGGCAACAACCGAACTTAAAGGCACAGTAAACAAGACACGAAGGAAAATCGGCAATTAAAACTGTCTCGTGTGTAGTAGTTGAAAAATCATCACCGAGTGATAGCCAAAAAGGAAACGAGCAATACTGAACGAATGAAGATGCCTTAAAGCCCCTGGCTATTGAATGACATGCGCTTATATAGGATTGCAGATGCCTCAGTGTATGCCTTGGAACGTTGAGCCCACAGGTGAGATAACGAGCCCATATCCATATGAGACCCAGAAGTTCAAGGCTTCTGGACGTGTCAACTTCTCGGTTTATAATCACTCAACTCTTCCGGCATCCTGATGTACAGCAAGAAACCCATGTTCCAAAGCTAGCTGCCCGCTAGGGTAAGACACCGTCTAATTGGTCGAAGGCTAGGTGGTATATCGCGGAGATGAAAAAGCAATCACAATGGACCCGGGAGGAACGCAGCTGAGACTAGTGTACCCAGCTGGACTTCATGGGGTGCGGTCCTAATATGACTCACTTTCACCCCACCGAAAGTGGTTATAAATTCTGTGTGTGTGTGTGTGTGTGAAGTGCCGGATGCCGAAAAGTTGATTCAAAATCCTTCATTCGGTTGTGTGAGCAAGTACGACGCGTTCACGCGCCCGATATACTAGCTAGTTAGATTAATTGGTGATAATAATAATGAGATTAATTGGCATATTGGCCAGATCAGTTAGGCCGAATATCGAACACCGGCGCATACATTTTTGAGTTTGTATAGCCAAGTATATCAGATGACCATAAAACAGGAGCCCGCATTGCGTCTGACGAGTGACCGCGTATTAGTTCCCACCAGAGCGGATTGCAGTCACCGTAGCGAGCGAGGCCCACATGCTAAGGCGATCGATTTGAGGGGATGAAGTCTAGCTAAGTGCATCTAAGATAGGTGCGCGACACATCATGATTAGTATCATGTACTGTTGCTTCGCTACCATACAACCACGATGACCTATGGAATAAAAAATGATAAGAGGGAGATAAGGGGGACTTAGCAGAAAACCTTAACGTCCTAAGCAAACATTAAGTGTCAAGGCGCCCACACCTAGTGTTAACAACATACCGTCACAAACCGCTGGCTATCGTGCAAAAATAAGGCGGCATCAGCGAGAGCTTCCTTGCGGCCTTCACTTCCCCGCGACACACGAGGGAACAAATCTTGAATTAATGCGTCTGGACTTACTGGTCAATTAAACATTGTTTTTCGTATATTGTTGTTTAACAGCTACTTGCGTTTCGAACACTAGTTGCCCGCCAATTGGGACTGCGCTGTGAAAACTTGGCCGTGCCGGATTACGAAATAATTGACCAACTGGGACGGTTGATATCGGTAAATCAGGCACAGACCGCGAACTTAGCCACTACAGAAAGCGCAATGAACCTACTCGGCGAAAAGCATTGAGAGGGTAAGCGAAATGTATAAAAACGTTAAAATGCTCTGAGTTGATGTGGTTCAAAAATTGATTAGAGTAACAAAAAATCTTTCCATACTGTTCCGACTTTTTGCTTTCTGAACTCCGCTTACAAACTGCTTAATATTTGCATCGTCTTTTGATCACCTGCTGGCGCATGCTTAGAGCTTAATAGGTCGGTCTGACCTTCGACGTCCGCACGTTTCCTCTCTAACGAAACATGGAGTACTACACTGATATACTGGTATTTCAATGAGTAGCGCGATGATGGTAAGCAGGAGCCGTTGTCGTGCGACACAACATTTTTTGCTGGACTCAGCCCGTTAGGCAGAATTAATCGTATTGCGATTTCATAGTTTTGTACCTCGCGAAACTTAAAAAAGAAGGACGTATGCGTTCCGAAGACGATAGGAAGAGAGTTAGAAGCCAATTATTCCTAAATTTAGTATCCGTTTGTTGAACGCGACCCATTTGACACAGTCCGTCACAAGGAGAGTGGACTTTAATATGGTGCTACGATTTGCGCACCTCTTCAACCCACTGAACTATGGTGGGTGGTGCCCCTGGCCCCCTTTAGAGCTATTTAAAGCAGGTTGATCATCGGTTAGAGAAACTAAATCTCTGCTCCTCCAAATTAGAAATGGGATGGTGTTCATTTCTGTAAAACCGAACGGTTGTCATATTACCGCTAACTTTTGGACGGGCTTTTGAGGCAAAGGATTTGGTCGAGAATATTGAATGGAAGGAATGAGAAGTGATGCATCTATGTAGCTGCATCTAAAATCCATCGGGTAAAAGGACCACTTATGATGAAGAAACTTCGCGATATTTCATGTCGGAAAAGTGTATGACGAATAAATTTTTGAATTCTGACATCGACTTTGCCTCAACTACGTGCTGCAGCAGATGGTTCCATACACTCACCAATCTCCGTTCTAAACAGATTTAGTGGGTGACGCGCTTCAAATCTGGTACTAAAGGCTTGTGCTGGTCTTCTCGCCTGCTGCTTGGTGTGCGCAGATGTAGCAGGGACCTTAACTTTGGTTAATCCCTGATATGTAATATCCGGTTGGTCATGATGAGGCAAACCCTGAATCGATGATAAGACAGGGTGTAAAGCCCTAGTCTCTTGCACCGGTCATCATAGGGCATGCCCCGTAGTGGGAGGAGCCTGGTGACCACTTGCTGTACCCGCTCAGTCCTTTGATAGGGGAATATGCGGGTGAGTCGTACTCTAGCATTGATCCTATGATTGAGACAAAGAGGAGAGTGGCAATCTCTTCAGAACAAGTGCAGAAGTTGCGTTTAAACGCCCAAAGCATACCAAGTCCGTTTTGGTAGAGGCTATTCGTGTTGTCCACGAACTTTAGGTCTCAGAGTTAGAGTACACAGAGGTCTCTCATGAAAGGCGCGGGATGACACGGTTGACCGGCAACAGTGTTAGCTCGACGCCCTGTACCTTACACCGCAACACCAACGGTTAATCAGGAGCTAGATCGCTTAGAGAGAGAGCAGGAGTTATCCATCAGGTGAATTACTCATCCTGGGCGGCAGCTATTGTTGTGGCCAAATTCGAGTATGCGGCTATTTTTAGACGGGTCTGAATGTTGCGCTGAATGCCTATTAGTACTTCTTACCGCTTCTGGATGGTTTGTTTGCATAACAGAATGGGGGTACATGTTCTGCAAAGCTGGATCTTTCAGACGCTTACCAGTAAATCGAGGTATATGAAGCCACACGAGGATTACTTACGATCAATGCGCACTGGGACGGGTATTAGTACCACCGCTTCCCGTTCGGAGTTAAGTCCGCATAGAATCATGAACAAGATGCTGATAATTGTCCATTGGGCAGCCGTATACATGGGCGACATTATTGTTGTCGGAGACAGTCTTGATGACATATTCGAAAAACTGGCTCAAGTTTTTGGCAAGGTCAAAGAATATTTATTCAGACTTCATGCTGAGAAATATACCGTCTTCATGAACTCAATCACGTTTTTCGGTCTTTCAATTGATAAGTACGCAGGCGTCCAGACACAGAGAAGGTAATCAATAAGATGCCGCCGTCCAAAGATGTTGCAACAGTGAAGTCCTTCCAATGGCAGATAAGTCATTACAACCCGTCACTACCGCATATACACTAATGCGGGGTGAATTCAATGAGCTACTGACCAAGCACAACTAGTGGAACCGGTCATTTGCGGAGGTGAAAAGGCTGATGACGCATAATGACCCCACCTTGGAGACTGTGGTGGCCGCAAACGCCTCGAACTACAGCATTTTTGCAGTCATAGCGCATAAGTTCGCAGACGGTTCAGAAACGACAATTGCACATGCAGCCAGTTCTGCTGTCTTCTGCAGAACGAAATCACGGCCAGAAAGAGAAATAAATTCTAGCGATAGTCTCCATAGTAAAAAATTTCACAAAATACCATACGGGAAGAAGCTTACACTCCTTACTGACCACAAGCCATTGTTGGCAATTTTCGGTTTGAATCAGGCACCTCTGTTTACACGGCAAAATTGTTGCCAAGGTCGGACATCACATTGCTCTACAACGACTGTGGCGAGATACATTTCTACGGAAGACATGAGTCAAGCTGATACATTTTCCCGCTTATTAGAGAATTAGCAACATCAGAAAGATGAATCTGTTAACTGCGACAGTCTCTCTCGACTAGGAAGTGAGTCAGGTACTGTTGAAAACACTGGTAACCTGTGAAATGGTGAGTGACGTATCAGTGCAGGATCCCGTTTTGCAACAAGGGCCAACTTACATACTACTCAATGCCTGAAGGACAACCTAGCTAGAAAGCTGCAAAGTATGTCTCGAAGGAAAAGCGAACTGTCAAGGGTCGATTAGCGACCTCCGGTTGTTTATTCTGTGGCTGCGTTGTCAGGATACTTGTAGATTTACCGGCATATTGGAATTATTTTGCGCAAATTTCGGAATAATTCAATTTGATTTATGAATCTGCAATTTCTGGATCATATTTTGCGTGGTATCTTCCCACAGATTTCTTAGTTCCGTTTGCAAATTCTACTTTACAACTTTACTTCCCTTTCGCATCATTTTCCAAAAATGCCGAGGAAATCACCTTGTGGTTCCTGCTCCAAAATTGTTGGAAACATTGCAAATGCCCTTACATGCATTGTTTGTTGTGCTAGCTTTCATATTTCGTGTGTTGGATTACCGGCCAATTTCCATGCTCTTCTGCGTTCCATTCAACATGACTTCATCTAAATTTTGTGCAAGGAATGTCGCAGTCTAAGGTAGCCAGAGAAACGTATCACGTCTTCCGATGCAGGCCGCCACCACAAACATTTAATTGTGCGCAGCTCTAGAATTACCGTCCAGCAAACTGGCCTAGAGCCTATCTAACGTTCAACCCAGTCAACTCCCTCTGACAAATCATTACCTCGCCATCCCAATGTTTCCGGAGACTAGACACCGAGGTTAATGATCCACTTACTGCGCGCTGTTAGCAATAATGACGTAGATGAATGTCCAATGCATGAGGAGCCGTGGAAGACGCAAGGGCGGAAGAAGCCGCGAAACGAAGAAAAGCTCCTTTCTACTGACCAACAAGCCAGATCAAGCGACATTCGAGTCCACTCTCCTCCCGCAGGAGCCACTTTGAATAAGAGGCGATTAAATCTGGTGCTTTTTCTCGTGCCTGAGTCCAACGATCCCAGTCCTCAGGCACGCTATGATCATGGCGTAGAGGTTCCAAAGAGCCTGGTTGATAGGCTCCTCAATGTGGGTGAGGATGAAGTGAAAGTGAAGCAAGTCATACGCCTCGGCAAAAACACTGCTGAGAAAGACCGACCTATGCGAGTAACTTTTGCTGAAAAGGCAAGCGCAAAGCTAATACTGTCTCGGTTGGGTAGATTGAGAGGCAATAGGGTGCATATTCGTCCGGATATCGATCCAGCTGACCGGGAGCGCCTCAAGTGTGCTATCATCGAGCTAAAGCGGCGAACTGGTGAGGGAGAAACAAACCTAGGCATTGTAAATTTTCGGGTGATTACACGAACGCGAATTCCAATAAATCGGTCGTTCACTCTGGTAGTTCGTCACCAGTCTGCGTGTAGCCTTTAACAACACCTGCAGTCTTATGAACAAGAGCGAGGAGCTGTACCGTTTCGTTACTTTCGAGCGAGCAGATGTAATGGGGCTCGCAAAGAGGTGGTTAAACAATGAGATACTCACCCAGGAAGTTGTGCTTAATGGCTACTCGTGTTTCTGCTTTGATAAGCCATCGAATTCCCACCGTGGCGTCTTGCTCTACATCCCGTTTTCTTTGTGTGGGAGACTCATGAGCGCCCACCGATGCGAAGATGGCCTATGTGAGCAGCTGTGATGCCCGATCCATCTCAGGCGCTGAGAAATGCTCGTGTGTGCATTCTGTCGCAATCCCTTGAGCCGTTGTTTGGATTGCTGTCGCATCTCCGAGACCACGTGGGTCGCCGTCATTTTCTACTTTTAGGCGAATTCAATTGTCCTCGAATACGCTGGCCTGAATTTGAACTTATCACCGGTTATCGTGAGGTCGAAGCAAAGTTCGTTGATATGGAACATGAAGCTGGGGCAACACGACACGTCTGCCAACCGGCGCGCATAACAGCGAACTCCATCGTGCTTACACTTGTTGTTAACTAGCCGTGAATAACTTGTGCATGATGTTCGGATACTGGAGCCACTGGCAGCAGGCGACCACACAGTAATTATTGCCAACATGGAGCTGCCGCTTCAAGCATCCCACAGAATGCAGTCAGATTACAAGCACTGGAAGACACATTTAGACAGCCGGACTCGAGCCGCGAATCGAATGGATTGGTTTCTGCCGCAAAATGCACCCCCTGAAGCTTGCTGGTCAGTCATAAAGAATTGAATAAATGCATTGTGTAACCATCAAGTGTTCGAAAGTCGGACCGATCAAACCACATTGGTTCGACAAGGAATATGTCAAACTGCCTCGGCAGCGGCACGGGCTATGGGACAAATCCCTTATCTCTGGCTTGGGCAACAACTATGAGATGTATGAAAAGCAGTGAAATATCTGCAAC